GGGGGCAGGGCAGGAGTAGGCTTTTCTTTGTTGTTTGATAATCTCTACGTTTTCTTGCTTAAGGAAGGTGATATGTTAATTTTTTTTTTTTTCACTTCTTCCTAAGGAATTACCTCATCTTTTCCCCATAAAATAAACTTTTTGGTTTATTTCCATTACTTAGTCTTTGGGGTACACAAGTTAATCAGCGGGAGGAAAGATAATCCACAGAGAATGTTAATAGCTGAAAAAAAAAAGTGTCCTTGGCCCTAATGTACCTTATTCAGTTCTCTGAGCCACATTCAGAGCTTCAGTAGCAAACTGGCCCTGTCTCACTGCTTTCAGACGTATGTACCACATCAACCTAGCTCCAGCTGAATGTATATCTAGGGTCTAACACGTCTGCAGGTAATACATTCTTTTGAGTTCTCCATCCTCATGCAGAGGGGCCAGTCAGTAGTGGCATACAGACATCTTTCAACATACAGATCAGGGTTGATCTAGCCAACTCCTTTACCTGAGACACTTATTTAAAAGCGTTCTTTTCTGGAGAAATCACAAACCAGTCTGTGTTAAATCAGAGGTACAAATGTCTCTTTCCAAGAAAAGTTCCAAGTAACCCTTATTTTACTTTTTCACCTCAAAACAACTTTTGGTGCTAGATCCACAAGAACCAAGAATTTGAGAGGCATTGACTAAATCTAGAAAAACGTGGGCACTATAATGGACAAAGCAGATAAGAGGGACAAAGTAAACACACTGGAAGAAACAGGATTCTCCTTCCTCTCATATATTTCCTGAATCCAAGCACAGAGCTCCATTACTTTCTCTATCACTTCTACAAAATTCCATAATTTTCTTTAAAAATACACTTACCAGAATAAAGGATATAGTTTTCAGTCTTGTTTGTGCTCTTTGATGTAATTTTTTAAAAAATGATTTTTTATTGATTTTTAGAGAGAGAAGTATCAATGTGAGAGTGAAACATCCATCCGAAACACCTACCAGAAATTGAGCCCTCACCTGGCTATGTGCCCTTGACTGGGAATCAAATCGGCAACCTTGTGGTGCATGGGACAACACCCAACCAACTGAGCCATACTGTCTAGGGCAACACAATTAACTTTTTTTTCAATTCATAATTAACTTTTGACATCAGTTCACAATCTGGGTCATTTTACTTCTGTGGCAGTCAACTTAGACAGGCTGTAAAAACCTACGGTTTTGTATTAGTTCATGTAAAATAGAATTTATTTGGTATTGTCTACTTTTAGGGCAGAGAAATGGTGTTAGATCTTAGGATGAATGAAAATCCCCCTTTTTTCCTACATGGATTTCTATTTCTTAGAGTAGTAGGACTCTAGAGAAATGGGAACTGAAGTGTCTTGTATCTAGTGCTTTGGTATTCTGTGTTACTGCGTTTCCTTTTTTCCCCCCTAGAGGTAAGAGATGGTTCATCAGTTTCCAGGAGATTGAAAGTTATGAAAAGAGTTCCTGAATAATCAGATTGTTTGGAAGGCAGAGAATGAAAAGAAATTGGATTGGGTGATTCCTGAAACATCTTATTCGGTATTTCCAGCTATAAAGTTTAGCCTTCCTAGTTCTTGTATAATCACTCGAGGATATGTTTTTATAGATTTGAGAGAGAGAGAGAGAAACATCTATCATTTGTCTCCCATACATGCCCCAACTGGGATTGAACCTGCAACCTGGGTATGTGCCCTGACCCGGAATTGAACTGACCACCTTTTGGTGTATGGGACTACGTTCCAACCAATTGAGCCACACTGGCCAGGGCCTTTTTAAAAAATGGTTGGGCTTCGTCCTGTGCAAGGTTGCTGGTTTGATTCCCAGTCAAGGGCACATCTCCGGGTTTTGGGCTCAATCCCCTGTAGGGGGCACGCAGGAGGCAGGCGATCCATGTTAGGCTCACACATCAATGTTTGTCTCTCTCCCTCTCGCTTCCTCTCTTTCTAAAAATTAATAAACTATTCTTTAAATTTTTTTAAATTGAATTTATTGGGGTGACATTGGTTAATAAACTTATACAGGTTTCAGGTATACAGTTCTATAATACACCATCTGTATATTGTATTGTGTTCAACACCCCAAGTCAAGTATCCTTCCATCACCATTTATCCCCCCTTTACCTTCTTCAGCACCCCCCACAGTTCCTCTTTTCCTCTAGTAATCACCATACTGTTGTGTGTCTATGAGTTTTTTTTTTCTTTCTTTGCCTAATCCCTTCACCTTTTTCACTCGCCCCCTGCCCTCTGACTCATATAATCTTTTGAATGTAACTAAGATACTAGTTTTTGAAAGTGTTCACTTCAGATCACCAAATCTGGGTTATACAGTACTCAGAGGGATATACACTGGGAGACAGTAGAGTAATTAATCATAATGGAGCTGACATCTACTGAGTGTTTATCAAGTGCCAGGCACCTTTATATGCATTGCCTTATTTCACAACAATTTTAGGTAGTAGATATTATTTATTTACTCTGTTTTACAGATGAAAAGAGCAAGGTTCAGATATGTGAGGTAATTCTCCCAGCATCACTGGGCTTGTGAGTGACAGGACTAAACTAGAACTTAGATTTTATTCCAAACACTAATAATGTGGGTATTATCTCCATTTTGCAAATGAGTGAATTAGAGATATTAACTAACTTGGCCTAAAGTCACTTAAATGGTGACTAACAATGGTATCAGGACTTGAACTCATGTCTACCTCTCTCTAAAACTCATGGTTTTAATTATTTTTTTAAGTGTTTTTATTGATTTCAGAGAGAGGGCGAGAGAGGTAGAAACATCAATGATGAGAGAGAGTCATTGATCAACTGCCTCTTGCACGCCCCTGCTGGGGATCGAGCCCTAAACCTGGGCATGTGCCCTGACCGGGAATAGAACTGAGATCTCCTGGATCATAGGTCAATGCTCAACCACTGAGCCATGCTGACTAGGCAAGTCTTAACTATTTTTAATTCTAAGATATTATTGAGCATTAAGGAATGCAGTAGGAGAACACAACACACTGAGAATATTAGAATTTTTAAAAAATTAAGTTAGGTTGACGGCCATTATAAATCAGGCCTTAAAGTTTAAGGTTTTTGTACCATATTGTTAGCCTAAAAGAGAAAAAATTAACTAAGGGCCTAAATAGCAAAGATAACTTGGTATATAATGAATGAGAATCTCTGAGGGTAGAAAAGGGACTTTAAAAAAATATAGTATCACTGAGAAATGCCTTTATTAACTTATTTACTGCATTGGCTGCTGTGCTTCCAATCTCTGTTGCAATTCCCACATTGAGGCTGTTCCCACCCTTCCTGTGTCCCTTGAGCTGAGCCGGCACTTCCTGTCCTATTGGAAATGAAAGTTAGAGATTGGGGGTGTTGTATGTGTGTATTTACTCTGCAGAATGTTAGTACTGTCTGTCCTATTATCATAGCAAAAAAGTGACAGGAAAACTAGAATAGAGATTGGGACTTCATTTAAGGGAGGGTTTGGACTTAATGGTTATTGTGGCAAAGCAGGCAGGGTTAATTTATATCTTAAGAGGATATCCATGATGGCAGCAAGGTGGTCTTAAGAAGGGATTTGAAGGCTTTCATTCTACATCCCTGTTCCACTTGGATTGGTAGGTGTTCCTGGGTATCATTCTTACATTTTTGATTTCCTACAAGTTTCCTTTCTTGTTAAGGCTACTTCTGTAGGACATTCCTTTGAAACTTAGAGGTGAGTATTGTTGCAGCTGTGTTAGATTCTTGACTAAGTCTATATTCGTCTTTTCTAAGAACTTTATATTTTTATTCTTTGTAAAGCATATGCTTTTTAAATAGTTATTTTTTTTCCTACAGCTCAGAGACAACTTAAAGCAAACATCTCTCAACTCTGTGAACTTCAGTTTGAACATAAATTCCAGGTTTGGTGAGTAACTCTAGCTGTTTCAGCTTCGTGGACCTTGAAGACTAGGAAATAGTGATATCAAGAGTCAGATAAGATAGTTGAAGAAACCACTAGGCAATTATATCCCAGTAAAGCCAAGGGGGAAAAAGAAACCACTAGGTACCAAGTTTTATGACATAGTCCAGTTTGATAATTCCTTCCTAAGTATGAAGTCATACCTGGGTGAATCTGAAAAGCCGTGAGAGGCATCAGCCCATCAGCATGACCCAAGAGGAGTAGAACTGACATGAAACTAGTCATTCCCCATGTTCTGTTTTGCTTGTCTGTTTTTTGGTGAGCTCTCCTGTTTGTTTTTTCATGTACTAAGATCACTGTAAATGTAAAATATGTGTGTGTTGGGGCGGGGAGGAGTCCTGAGCTCATCTCACATATTCTTAGTATGGTTTTCTTCACATATTCTCCAAGGCAGTGTCCCAGTGGCCCCTTTAAAATCAAACTTGCAATCTTCTTTTAGCTAGTATCTAAGGGAAAATAATTCCCATTGTCTTTTCATGAGACTCAGAACTTGTTCCTAGAGGAAAGAGATTGGGATTGAAAAGGGTAAGAACTTTTCTTTTTGCTTCAACTACTGAGCCTGTGAAAAATTAAAAAATAACATCTTGGGCATTAGGACCCAGTGGTAGTGCCTCATTCAGACTCTGGGTTAACTTCTCTCAGTGACGTCAACAAGCAGCCCTAGCTCATTCTTTACCCACCCCCCCTCATTTCTCTCCCTCCTGCTCCTTTTCTCCCCCTTTCTCCTCC